GTGTCTTCGTGTGTCATGTCCGCAGGCAGGCACCAATACGGCGACAATGTGTACTGCTGGTCGCAGTACCAGATCTCTTTTCAGATTGAGGGTTCTTTCCTGTCCCCGTCATTCTTTGTCTGCGTGTCTCACACGCCACCGCCCACCGCACCACAGGCGAAGAATTCCAGGTGACACACGGCGAAACACAGAGCACCTTTTGCCCCTACGAAGACGAGATCACCATACCCGAGGTGCGCCTCCTCCGCGACACGCACCGCCGCTCAAGATTCGCACACGCACATATGGAACACAGCACTCACGTGGGTGATGGTGCGTGGTTTTCGTCGCCTCCCCATCGTCCAGGTGGAGCGGCTTGCGGAGCTGCGGGAGAAGTGGCACACGCCACTGGACGCCGACACGCTGCACTGCCTCTTCGGCTTCCTGCTGCCCTACGATGACATCGCCCAGGCCTACAACTTCCACATGGTCATCCTGTCCAGCCAGGACGAAGACATCGACGAGTAGTGTGAGCATGAACGTTTAAAGGACAACATGTTTTGCTCGCCCAGTTAAGGGCTGGCCAAAAGGAGCAGCCAGTAAGTGACCACAACAGCATACTTATGGTTTATTTGTCGTGCCACGAGGCCTTCCGCTTCTCGGCGAACGCTTTCATGCCCTCTTTCTGGTCCTCCTGCGGTCGTGCGTTGTGTCGTGTGTGGCGTGAGTGGCGTGCGCGACTGCACTGGGAAGGGGCACAGTACGGTGGCAAAGGAGGCGTAGAACAGGTGGCGCTCGTAGTTGATTCCCTCGGTCAGGGAGCTCTCGTAGGCACGATTCACGCAGTCCTTCGCCATCTCCACGATCGGCATCGAGTGACCTGCGCAGAGTCATCACCCCACGTCTCCGTTGAGGCAACACGCAACACGCAACACGCAACACGCAACACGCAACACGCAACGTACCGGCGATGGTCTGCGCGACTTCTATGGCGGTGGCGAGGGTCTTGTCGACCGGCACCACGCGGCTGACGAGGCCCATACGCTCGGCCTCCGCAGCGCTGATGTTCTTACCGGTGAGCACCATCTCCTGCGCAGCATCCACACCAGGTTCATACATTGTTTTGGAATTCCACAATGCACACACAACACACCGGGGTGAGCGCGGCGAGAAGCGATGGAAAGGAGAGAAAAAAAGAAATGAGGGAGGGAAAAACCATGGCCTTGGACTTGCCGATGGCGCGAGTGAGGCGCTGGGTTCCGCCGATGCCCGGAATGGTCCCGACCTTGACCTCGGGCTGCCCGAACTGAGCGTTCTCCCCTGGGGACGATATCGTCGGCATTCAGTAGTACATGCCCACGTGTATGTGTCGTGTGTGTGTGTGTGTGTGTAGTGACTCGCGGGTTGGGGCTGAGATAGTACCGGCGATGAGGATGTCGCACATCATGGCCAGCTCGCAGCCGCCACCCAACGCGTAACCGTTTACAGCGCCCACGACTGGACCGCAGAAGAGATCGCGCGTGAGTGTGTGCGTGCGTCCGCTCGTGTGGACTGAGGGGCGAGAGAGGCGTCGTACGCGGCTTCTTAAGGAGGGCGGCCTGACCGATGACGTTGATGAAGTGGTCGGGGTGGCTCATTTCGACCATCGTCTTCGTGCTCATCTCCTTGATATCGGCTCCAGCTGGGACATGACACACCGCACACGCGACACACACACACGGCACGACACAACAGGGAGGGTAAGTGTCGGTGAAGACAGGTCGTGGTAAGACAGGAGCTACTCGCGTACCAGCGAAGGCTCGGTCGCTGCCGGTGAGGACGATGCAACGCACCGACGAGTCCCTGTCCAGCGCCTTCAGCGTCGCCATCACCTCCCGCACCAACTGTCCCCCCCCCCAATGGCCCAGCATGAGCAACATTGGGGTACGACGTGGCGCTACTCGCATGGGCACAAAATTGTGGGAGGCGTGCCTGGGTGCCGAGGGCGTTGAGGGCGGTGGGGCGGTTCATGCGTACAATGACGACACCCGAGGAGCCCTGCCGCTCGACCAGGACCACGCTGGTGGTCGATGGTGCGTCGGCTGCCACCCCATGCGGTGCCAGTCGTATGACTGCGCCGAGATGCTGCTCGTGAAGGTGGTGCGCCAACCTGGCCACGCGACGCACGCCTGTGCTACTCGCTGCCGTCCCCTCCATGATATTTTCTTCTGTCTTTTCTTTTTATTCTTTTAATATTTTTCTGCTGGGGCCTTCGTTGTTTTTGTACCTAAAATTGGCTCTTCTGAAGAAAAAACAAGACGTCGCCAAATAAGCAGCTTTGCACTGGCCATTTTAAATGTGGTACGTGAAGTCGCCCACAGGAGGAGTCAGCTGGCCGTCGCCTTTCGCTTCTTCTTCTTCTTGTGGGCCTGGTCGCGGTTGTCTTGCTTCGTCCTGGTGCGGGTCGTGTCCATCAGGACACTCTCACCGCCACCGTCGGCCTCATCAGACGTCTGCTGCTGCTGCTGGGCCAGGCGTCGTCGCTTGCGCGGCTTGGCGAGGGCGGGCATGGCGGGGAAGGCGATCACGACGCCCCTCTTCTCCTCCGCACGCACGAACTTGCGGTACCGCAGCCCGCACCTGCCGTGATGACGCCATCGGTGATGATGAAGGGATTGATCGTGATGGTGCGGACATGATGTGAGTGCCAACAGTCAGACCAACGCCTGGTGAGATGGGGATGGTGGGCGCGTACGCGTTGCAGAGGGTGCCCTTGCCGTCGGGTCCGGTGCGCCACTCCGGCGTAGAGGTGATGCCGCAGTGCATGCACGTGCGGCCTGTCATCACCCGCGGCTCCCTGCTGCCGCCGGCCGCGTCGTGGCCTCCGTCGCTCTCATCTTCTTCGTCTTCCTGCGAGCTGCTGCTGCTGCTGCTGCTGGTCGGTTGGTCCTTCCGCCGCCTCTTCTGGTTCTGGTTCTGCTGGGCCTGGCGGTTGGCGGCGATGGCCTTGTGAGTGTGCTTGAGGGAGACCATGGACTCCTCCCTCTCCCGCCACCGCTCCTTGACCTCCTCCGCCGCCAGCTGCACCACCCGATTCCCCGCCTGGTGGCCACCACCACCAGGGTGATGGTGGCGGTCGGCTCGGCCCGCTGGCGGCGGCGACGGGGGCAGGGGCGACTCTTCGCCGCAGGAGCGAGTGCGGCCCGAGCGAGGCGACCCGCGGGGCGACGAGAGCGGGGAAGACCATTCCACGACCGCGCCGCCGAATTCGAAGCTGTGGTCGTGGCATTCAGTGGGCGTGGTCAGGAAGTTGATGTCCATCTTGGTGTGGCTGGTGGTCGGGGAAGACATCCGAGAAGCCGACGATGTCGTCATCGACACCCGCCGCCGGCTACGCTTGGCCGTCGCCTGCGATTCGTGCGGGGACCCGGGGGGCGCGGCCTTAGTCGTCGTCGGCGTCGGCGTGGCCGGAGCGAATGCGGCGGGCGTGGGCGAGGCTCGTGATGGAAGGCCGAAGGGCGGGAAGGGCACGCTCAGGTGGAGGGCGCCCGGGTAGTGAACGGCCGAGAGCAGCAGCAGCTGGTTGACGTCCTGGTCGACCTGGTGGTGGGGCAGAGGCTGGTGGGGCCGATGGCGATTCACGATCGTGGCCGGAGGGAGGGCCACCAAGTGCGGCGGCTGCGGCGAGGAGGAGTCCTGAAGGTAATGAAGAAGAAGAAGAAGATGAGCACACACCCGGGGTGCACTTGATCCGCCAACCAAAGAAAGAGGGGGCTGGCCATTGGTCCTTTGATGACCGAGGTAACCCAGAAGATCTCTCGGGGGGATCAAGTGGTAAAATTACGGTGGACAACAAGGCGCTGGTGCCTTGCGACACTCCCGAACCCAAAGGCACCACCGAATCAAAGGAGCAGAAGGCGAAGTCGGGCGAAGGGCGAAGCCGTGGGCAAGCGAAACAAATAAAACATAAAGAGAGAGAGCGAACCAGGTGTGATGAACCAGACTGATGAAAGATCTGCAGGGCAGATAGGAAGGCCATAGCGTCTTGCATCTCCATCTCTTGAAGTTATTTGCTTGCGATGTTCTCGTACCAGTACCAGAGTGATATGTGGACGAGAAGGCCCAGCTTGTGAGGAAGAAGAGAAAGAGGAGAAAGCAAAGGGGGTTGGGACGTTGTGCAAGGCTGGAGGTGGTGGGTCAAATGGGTGCTGCGAGATCGGACCACTAAAGACTCCGCGAGGCGAGAGAGATGGCGTACTACTAAGGTCATGAAGAGACGCCAATTGGCGCCCTGAGCGTGCAGAGGAACGGCCGAGGACCCATTATAGAGCAGCAACGCCATCTCTCCCCGACATCTTCCTGTGTTCCACACTCGTGGCCAATAAGCGGCTTACATTCCCAAAAAAGAACATAAACGCCAACCCGCCCTCATTGGCTGGCATTTGTTGACCGCGGCCAGAGTTCGTGCCCCCCGCGGCGGGCGCGACACGGTTGAGGGGAAGAGAGGGGAAGAGAGAGTTGGTGGTTGGTGGCCCATTCTTGTGGTGTCTTTTCCGTAGCTCACTCTCACAAGGCAGAAGTCTTGGGCCACTGGTAGCCCGGCGTCAGTCGGAAGCCGCGCGCTCGGATGAACTCGTCCGCCTAGGAGCGCGAGAGCGTACGCGATGAGCGCAAGGCGACGCCGACACAGAAGAGAGATCCGTGGTGTGGTACTGGGCGGTGGGTACCTCTGCAGGTCCACGCGAGCCGTAGGCGTAGGGGATGGGCTCCACCTTCTGGTCTTCGAGATGATGCAAGATTGGCGTAAAGATGTCCCACGCTGGTGGAAGCACACACGCACACATTGCACACGGTAAGTGGTGCCAGGCCAAGTGCGTGGCCGAGGTGACGAGCGTGACGTACCGGCAGCAAGCTCGTCGTCTCGCACGAAAAGCCGGTGGTCGCCTGCCGACAACACACACGTACACGCAAACAGGTTGCAGCTCATCAGCAGCTAACAACGGTAGTTGACTTTTTTCATTGGCCCATTTGGAGGCGATGTAAAATGGTGCTTGAGGCGTACCCTTGATCACATCGAGCACCAGGCGCTCGTACGCGCCCGGGATCCGCGGCGCCTTGCCCTCAGCCGCAAAGCGCGACTTGTACGTCAGGTCCAGCTCGATCAGGGCTTGCTCCTCCGTCAACCCTGGTCGAGCGGTAAAGTCAGTCCCGCATTCTACCCGCGCAAAGAGGGCAAAAGGCGAAGAGCGCGCACGAACCGGGCTTCTTGGTGAGCATCTTGAGGTAGACGGCTTCGTTGGGCTGCACCCGGAGCACCAGCTCGTTGGGGGGCAGGTCCTCGTCAAAGAGGTCCTTGAGCTTGGACGGCTTGAACTGGATGCGGACCTCTACATGTGCTCGCACACAGTTGTTCCACCGTTAGCCAAGTATGCGGTCCGCTACTCCAAAGTACGGACGAGAATGAGAAAGGCGAGGCGCACCTGACTTGTGGTCGTTGAGCGCCTTGCCGCTTTTGATGATGAACGGCGTGCCTTCCCACCTAAAAGAATTAGCAAGAAGAGAGTTAAGACTGTGCGCCAACATTGTAAACACACGATACACGACACACACGACCCTGAGGCGCACCTGTCGTTGTTAACGCGGAGCTCGGTCACGGCGAAAGTGGGGGTGAGGGAATGCTTGTTGGGAATGGACGGGTCGTCGGTGTAGCCCTTCTTCTTCTCGCCTTGGTCGTCGGAGGCGGTGTACTGGCCGATGAGAATGTCGTCAGGCTTGATGGGCGCGATGCTCTTCAGGACCTTAGTCTTGGCATCCCTGCACACAACGCACACGCACCATCGCACACGCCAGTCAGTGCCATTGACTGAAGATCCACCAAGAAGAGCTTCCTAGAGGGAAAGGCGTGTACTGAATGTCGGAGGCGCCAAGCGACTTGGGAGGTTCCATGGCCACCAGGGCGAGCACCTGGATCAAGTGGTTCTGCATGACGTCCCTGATGATTCCAAACTGAAGCCGAGTGTCATCATCGCCGCGTGTGAGTGTTACGCTCTCTTCTTTCTGCACCTAATAGGGCGGACCGGTGGGGGGGGCACCTCGTCGAAGTAACCGCCCCGGCCTTCCGCGCCAAAGTCCTCCTCGAGGGTGATGCGCACGTTGGCGATGTGGTCCTTGTTCCACACTGCAATATAGTGATTGGGGAGAGAGCGCACAGGGGCAGATGAGAGACCTTAGTGCGGAAGCGAGAGAGGAAAGAATGCCGCTGCGTCGGCGGATAAACATACCGGGCTCGAAGACCTCGTTGGCAAACCGAAGCACGAGCAGGTTCTGCACCATCTCCTTGCCGAGGTAGTGATCGATCCTATAAACCTCCTCCTCGTCGAAAAGCTGCACGAAATCGATTCGTGTCGTGTGTGTGTCGTGTGTGTGTCGTGTGTCAGAATCATCGTCCAAAGTTGGGAATGCAGCATATGGTGCTACATTAATGTTGTTACGCGTACCTTGCTCAGCTTACGGCTCAGCTCGGCCGAGGACTCGGCATCGCGTCCGAACGGCTTCTCCAGCACGAAGCGATTCCAGCCCTTCTTGCTCAGCCCCTTTTCTGCAGATCGCGAGATCATCAGAGAGAGTAGTGCGCTGGCAAGTAAACACCAGCTCTCCAAGCCTCTCGAGAGTAATCAAAGCAACGACGGCAGCTTGTGTTGGTGAGATGTACCGCGAATGGCCTTGGCCGCATCGGCGTAGACGGAGGGCGGGATTGCGAGGTAGAACAACCGGTTGGCGCCGTCGCCCGCCTTCTCCTCGTACTCCTGGAGCAGCTTGTCGAGATCGGCAAACGACTCGGCCTCGTCGTACTTGCCCCGGTGGTACACGCACCTGTCCAGGAACTGCCTCGTGCACGGTGGTGTCATTGCAATGAGCTTTTGCGTAGAGGATGGGAAGCACATATACCTCTTTTCGCTTCTTCTCCTCTGCATCCTTGTTGTCTTCGTCGATGCTGAACTTCTCGCTGATCTTCTTCTTGAACTCGGCATCGTCGAGCTCGGAGCGAGCGTGGCCCACGACGACGAGCGACTTGGGCAGGAGGTCCTGCTTGTAGAGTGCAAAGAGCGCGGGGAACACCATCTTTTTGGCGAGGTCCCCAGACGCACCCAGCACCACCAGGCTCAGGTGGCCGTCGCCACCACCCTTGGCCTTCTTTTCGTCCTTCTGCTCGTGTTGGCTCATCTTGAGTCGCTACTTGAATTTGTTTTTTCCTGTTCTACTCTCGAGCTGAGTGCTACTTGTCTATGTGAGGTTGATTTGATCTGTTGGCAGGAAGCACCCAGTGTGGCGCCCATTGCGGCGATAGAGGGAAGTTGTGACGAGATCTGGAGCAGAGGTGCGCCCTATTTTCATCTGTTTGTCTTCCCTCTTGTCTCACTTCGCTTCTGGTCAGGAAATTCAGAGCCCGAGAAGAAAACATCAAGAAAACATAATTAATTATCAACAAGATCGGATCGAAGGAAAGGGAAACGAGTACGATGAAGCGCCAAACGTTCAACCCCACGGTTCTTCCTGTCCTCTTTCGACCTTTGCTTATATTTATCCACTAATTTAATCCTTCTTTCTCTCTGTAGGAATCCTTTCTGGAGGGTTTCCTGCTGAAGCAGGGCGCAAAGGGCCTCATCCGTAGCTTCAAGAAGCGATGGTGCCCTCCTGCCGTATTGTAAATCATTCCATCTTTTTATTTTATTTTTAACCATTTTTTGTTCGACCAGGTTTGTGCTGGTTGATGGCAAGCTGACCTACTCGCGCTCGCCCTACAGCCCCGTACCACAACCACCTTCTTTTCCCCTTTTCTTTACTTATTTTGTGACGGTAGCTTGTTATTTTATTTATCTTGTGCCTATTCGTGAATAATGCCTGGCAGGAGATCGGCCATGTCAAGATGGAGGACTGCACCAAGTTGCTGGCCAAGACGGAGGGCAAGGAGGGCAGCAAGAAGTACATTTTCGTCATCCAGACCACCTTCGGCCGCGACTACACCCTCCAGGCAGCCTCTGAAACAGGCACGCAGAACACGCACGCATCGCACACGCCAGACCACGCACCACCAAACACGCAGAACACGCACGCATTGCACTTTCATCAAAGCTGACGCTCTCCCGCGCCAACGTGCACAGAGCAAACGAGATGGATGGAGACCATCAACAGCTACCACGGGATGGCCACCAACTCGACGCGACCGCTCCTCGATTCGCTGTCGTCCAGCCTCGAGGCACAAAAGTCCGAACGAGCCCTGCGACGCATGACCGTCATGTACCCCAAGTACGACGCTCTCGCTAACCATTTCGCTGGGAGTGCCGTGTGTACTCATTATGCGCGGTGGTGGTGTACACACAGCCTTAACATGGAGGAGGAGCCGCCAGCACCGCGAAAGCGACCAGTGACGATGGTGATGGCCGATCCGCAGCTGAGCTTCTCTTCCATGCACACCGACATTGCTGCCCTCACCTCCGGCCTTGCCTCCGCCGACAACACGCAGTATGTGCACCTCTGCCTCCTCACACGACACACACGACACACACGACACACGACACAACTCACCTAGGCATGCGTGTTGGGTTACTAGTTTGTCACCGAGGTCGGGAGGAGGTGCGGGCAGCCCTGTGCAAGCCGCCGCGCAGCTGCCCACAAGTACGCCGCCTCCCATCGCCGCCTTTTTTCTTCTTTTTTTGTCACATCTCACGTCAACCGGCGCTCGCAGAGGATCTGAGCAGCCCGAGGGAGGTTGGTTCGACCAACTCTGGAGCTGGAGGTCTGCCATCATCATCATCGGCATCATCGTCGTCGTCGGTGGGGTCGGCGTCTGCAGCCGCGCATGGCACTGGGTCGGCATCGCCACGACGCCAGAACCCGTACGCGGCAACCCCGACGGCTAACGGCAAGAGTGGCGACGACTCCTCCGATGAGTCCGAATCTAAGGTCTGCTTCGTTCTTCGTTCTTCGTTCTTCGTTCTTCGTTCTTCGTTCTTCGTTCTTCGTTCTTCGTTCTTCTTGTTCTTCGTTCTTCGTTCTTCTTGTGTCGTTTTCCGGATGCTCACCGTGTACGACGGCTGGCACTTTGCAGGGTATCGAGGGCGACGAGGAAGATGTGGTCGGAAGCGATAAGGTACGTGCACCATCATGACGACCACCCTCGAGTACACATGATATGAGCCGCCCCAATCCCATAACTCAACCAACATCAACTCCCGTTTGTGTGTGTGTGTGTGTGTGTGTGTGTGTGTGTGTGTGTGTGTGTGTGTGTAGAACCAAGACGGCAAGGGCGGGATGGGGCGGCAGATGTCCAAGCTCCTCAAGCGCAAAAAGGACAACAAGAAAACCGACCTACTCACCGTACGCAGTCTCATCTGTGTGTGCGGTGATGGCGTGTGTGCGCGTGCGCGCGATGGTACGGTTGTGCCATGTTGACGGTGTGCGATGGCGGCATTCATCGTGCGGGGCAGGATCTGAGCCAGCGGGTGACGGCGCTTGAGGCGCAGCTGGAGCTGAGCGAACAGCAGAACGAGGAACGGAAGCAGGCCCAGGAAATCCTGAACGAGGAGCTCCTCGAGCAACGACGCCGATACGACGAAGAAAAGCGAAAATGGGCCGCTCAGATCGACCAGCTCAAGGAGAAGTACATCGTCCCGGCATCATATTTTAGTTCGTTAGTTCGTTAGTTAGTTACCGATGTCTGATGTCTGATATCTGATTAGATACTTCTTGAGCCTGGTGGTGTCGGCCAAGCTCAACTACATGCTCTCCAGCAACGACGGCGACTCGATCAACGTCCGAGCGCCGGCCCTCTGGGAACAGGCGGCGGCCGACGAGGTGGAGGTGGAGGACTTCACCAATTACATCGCGCAGCACATCGATGAAGCTGTGGCGGCCGCCAACGGCGACCGACGACGACAGCCCGGTGGCGGCAGCAGCGACGGCAAGGTGGGATACGACCACTACTACTCCTACGTGCGCGATGACAGTGACCCGCGAAGGCGAGTGTAGGACATATATTGCCGTGTCGTGCTCCCACATACATGCGTGAGGGTAAGAGGCACGGTGGGCTCAGAATCGCTTGAAGAAGCACATTATGTCCGGGTGGCGGGCGATCTCGGCAAAGATGTCTTGCACGATTTCCTTGATTTGGGGCGTGACCATGTGGTCGGGGACGTCGCGACGTTGTAGTAGTGAGCATATCCTCTCGCCCACATGAGGCCCTTGAGCGCCATGAACTCGTGCGCATCGATTCCTGCGTTTAAGGGAAAGCCTTGTTGAGCTCTCAGATGGCCCAACCTACCTGCAGACAGCATGCGGGGTAGAGATGGCACGCATCCACCTGTGCTTGCTGCACCAGCAACGCAATGGCGACAATGTTGACCAGGCACCTGACAAAGGTGGCGTGGGCGTAGTCCTTTCATTATTTGGGGGGGGGGAATGGCATGTACAGCAGTGGTGGAGGTGCGGCGGCGATGGCAGGTTCAGAGGGCCGGGGGCAGGTGCCGCAGGATGGCCGCCACGTCGAACTGGAAGGTGAGGAGCGGGTTGGGCGCCTTCTTCCGCCCCTGCGCCCCGCCGTGGTGGTATGCATCCTCCTCTTCCTCCTCCTCGTGGCGTCTATCATCATTGTACGCCGCGCCCTCGCCACCGCCGGTTGCAGCCGCGCCGCCGGAGCCGCGCCGTCGGTCGTTCAAGATAGCACCGGCACGGCTCTCCCTGGGCTTGGCCTCTCCCCCTTGCCCGGGCTGAGCAGGCCCCGCCACGCCCGGCGGCGTGTTGCGCAGCAGCACACGCCTGGGGGCCACTGCACCGCCGCCCCCGCCGCCGCCACCCGCGAGTGAATGAGTGCAGTGTGAGATCATCCGCGGAGTGACCACACGCACACGCACACGCTACGGCAAAAGGGCGCGTACCATCGGAGCTGGCGGCGGTGAGGCCGGGCGGAGGGTGAACGCTGGAGGCGGAGGAGGTGCTGGTGGCGGCGGCGGCGGCGGCGAGAGCAGCGCCGGGGATGCGCTTGTCGCGTTGGCGGCGGACCTGGATCCACTTCTTGAGGCGGCCCACCACGGGCGACACCATGAAGAAGTTCTCCGTCTTGCGCACCCCTGCACCCCATCCGTCAACAGCAGCAGCAGCAGCAGCAGCATCGCACTCGACACACGACCACACGACCACACGCAGCCAATCACGCTCCATATGCCTTGTGGGGGGGGGGTTCGGGCAGTGGTGAAGTGTGCAGGCGTACCGGGGGTCTGCTTGGAGTTGTACGAGGGCAGCTCCTTGATCAGGTGCCATTTGATTTTCTGCCACCCGGACCACACACTATCTTCAGCAACAAGCGGCGCCATCATCGCCATCATCAACACATCGCCGCCGCCGCCGCCGCCAGCACGATGGGGGGGGGAGTACGCTGATCTCCTTGCGGGTGCGGGGAGGCAAAGGGGGTGGTTCTCGGACACGTAGGGGACGGATGTACAGCCGCACCTGCGCACGCACACGCGATACGGATGTGTGTTGTGTGTGTGTGTTGTGTGTGTGTGTGTGTGTGTGCACAAATTACACGCGTGTGAATGGATGTAGACAGTGATTGGAAATGCAGGAACCCATCATCCGGCCTGAGCGCACGGCACGCACCCGCTGTTCGTTCTTGGTGAATTCGATGTAGTCCTCTTCGGTGATGAGCCCGTCCGGAATCTGGAAGCCCGTCTCCTCATAGACCTGCCCCGCACCAGCTCCAACGTTATTTAAGGAATTCGAGGCACGCGCGAGCGTAAGGCGGCGGTGGCTGTGGCACCGCATGGAGGAGGTAGTTAAGGTGGCGAGTTTGAAGGTACCTCGCGCTTGGCGCATTCGAGCTCGGGCTCGTCTTTGTTGATCTTGCCCTTGGGGAAGCCCCAGCTGGAGCGCGAGTGCCAGCCCTTGACCAGCAGGCACTTGTCGAGGGCCGTGTTGAGCAGGATGGCCCCGCACACCGGCACCCGCGTCTTGTAGTGCGTGAACGACGCAAAGATCTCGTCGATCGAGTGCTCCGCCAGATACGGACGCAGCAGCGCACAATGCTCGAACACTGCCCCGTCACACACACACACACACACAACACACACCGCACACACCGCATGCCAACGGGAATGGGAAAAGAGTGAGCACGAACAGAACACACGCCTCCCCCACACGCACACAACGCGCACACGCACACAACACGCGCGAGAGGAGGCGGGCGAACTCTGGCGGGCGAAGAGTTTGAGGGAGGCGGGCGGGAGCTTGGGGTCGTGCTCGCGGTAGAAGTCTTCGTAGAACCAGTGGGCGGCCTCTATCTGGAAGCATATCCGCTCGAACGAATGCAGCTCCTCCTCCGGCAGGTTGATGATGAACCGGCTGAGCAGCAGCAGCAGCAGCAGCACGCCAACATCCCCCCCCCACCACAAACGCAACAATAAAGGTTGGAGGGTTGGTGGTGTGACCAGGAGCGAGGAGCGGCAAAAGATAAGGAGATAAGATAAGGAGCGGCACCACACCTGCACAAGTCGTCGAGGACGTGGGACAGCTTGAGCTGCTGCTTCGACATCTTGTTGTGGATAATCAATCTGTTAACGAAAACCTGCCAACAAAGAAAAGTAGGGGAAGAAAGGAAATTGTGAAGAAGGCCGGTTATCGGGACGTCTGAAGCATTATTATTGCTCGAAAGGGAGCCAAATGCACACACACACACGACACGCCACGCCACGCACACACACGTATGTGTGTGTGCGTGTGCGTGTGACGAGTCGAGCGAGTGTGCAGGCAACAAGAACCAAGACTATATTATCTGTATCTCTCCTCTATCTATATCTCAATATAGATAGAGAGAGAGAGAGAGAGAGAGAGATAGGCGGCGGCTCTCTCGTCCATGGCGAGAGGGGGTCAAGGGGGCGGGAGGAGCTGGGCGCGGTAGACGCCTCGCACCGAGTTGAAGAGGAGGATCTCCTGCGCGCTCCCGAGGTCTTCGAGGGTGATGGGCGCCTCCACCATCCACCCACCCGCCACCAGCGCCCGCCGCATCGTCCCCTCGAGCAGGCCGCACGCCACTGGCGGCGTCACCACCTCCATCTCTTCCTCCTCGCTCGGGTTCGTCCTCCTCGTCGGCATCATCTTGCGGGGCCGCACGATGGCGATGTTGGCGATGGTGGTCTCCGTGACCTGGCCCCACTGGTTGTAGAGGACGACGTCGTCCGCCACCTCAGTCGCGTGGGCGGCTGCCTCGGCCGAGCGCACGTCGCGGAGGGCGCGCGCATAGGCCTCGCGGTGTGTGGTCTTCCACCGCAGGAACGGGTCGTCCCGCAGCACCGGCGCCCGAGCCGCCCTCACCTTCACCGCGGTGGTGCGCGGAGCCAACGTAGAGATTGTGGTGGTGGTGGTGCTGGGCGTGGTCGATGACGTGGTCGGCGAAAGGCCGCGGAGGAAGGCCAGGTCGGTGACGATGGGCGACGAGTCGATCTCCACGCTCTGCACCTCGATCCGTTCGTCGGCGCCGACGAGCACGCGCACGCGACGTACCGATGGCTGCTGCTGCTGCTGCTGCTCGGCCCACTTCTCGCGCGCGACGATGGCGTGGAGTTGGTCGCGCACGCGAGCCACGAGCAGGGCGGCAGCTTCGGGGTCGGGGCAGAAGTCAAAGTGGAGCAGCGCCCGCGCGAGGCGCTCCAGGTGGTGCTCGAGCAGCACGAACGTGCCGGGCGGCTCCCACCGGAGGGTCTCGAGCAGGTCGAACGGCGGAGCGGCGGCCAGCACGTTGCCGCACAGGTGGAGCGAACCGCAGGCCACCACCACGTTCAGCACCGCCTCTCCCTGCCCGAGCGTTTGGGGGGGGGCAACAGAGTCAGTTCGTTCGGCTCTGGGCGAAAGGTTGTGCGAGTGTGGCGAGTACCGTGGCTTCCCGGGCGTCGATCTGGCCGAGCACGTGATCCAGCGATGGGACCACCTGCATCCCGCCGAGGTCGAGGCGCGTCCCCTCCCTTGGGCCATCACCACCACCTCCCGCGCCAACTCCTGTGGATCCATAGACAGCGACCGTCAGGCCACGCACGCGAGAACAACAGAAAATTAGATGAGAAGAAGCATACCTGGAGCTGGGCGGGCGGGAAGGGCTTTAGCCAATCTACGTTGGGCCGCACTTCAACGAAGCTGATCGCCTCCGAGACATCATGGCCTCCTCCGTGTTGTTGCTGCTGCTGCTGCTGGTGATGGTGATGATGATGAGGCGGCACGAGAATGGAGCGGAGGTAGGCCGAGTGGTCCTTGTGGCCCAGCATGCCCACCACCCAATGCACCCGCAGCCGGCGCTTGACCGGCAGCAGCGCCGCCCGCTCCTCCTCCGCGGCACGCAGGCGCCGTACGGCGTAGTCCACATAGCGCCGCAGCTGCGCGCCGCCTTCGGCGTTGTGGGAGCCATCGAGCAGAATGCGCCGGTTGCCATGACACAGCCACTGGACGCGCCCGGGCCAGCGCACACGCCGACGCCTCGCGCCAGACGCTCCTCGTCAACCGCTGCACCAACGCATCACCATTCATCATGCAAGCCTGTTAGGGGGGACGTAGTAGTAGTAGATGCAGCTGGTGGTGATGGTGATGGTGATGATTGGTGTAGCTGGTGATGATGGCAACGTTGCTGGATTCGAAGTTGGGGGGAGGGGGGTGTAGGGGCATATACGTGCGTGCCAGGCCGGCTGGCCGTCGGCGTCCTCATCACAGAGGAGCCGCACCGTGGCGATGGCGAGGGCCGAGTTGGTCAGCTGGTGCTCTCCGTTGAGCCGCAGCCGATACCGGTAGGTCCTGCCCGCTTCATCTGCACACATGCGTCATCGAAAAAATGGCACACACGCTACTGGTAAGAGGCGCTGCTGCTGCTGGCGGCGGCGGCGGGTCGAACCGACAAAGAGGGCGGCGTCCTCCTCGGCGTCGCGGTCGGGTTGGCGAGGGGTGTCCCAGGTGGCGGGGCGGACGAGGTGGAGCGGGGATCCGAGGGCGCGGGCGGTCTCCTCGATGACGGCGAGGGCGGGTGGCGGGATGAGGGCGGAGACGATGGTGGGCCGGCCCCGCTTGATGATGCCGCTCTTCTCCCGCGCGATGGCCTCCACGCTGTTGCCCAGTATCTCAACGTGGTCCTGCACCAATGGATTGCATCGCTCCGCGTGAGCAAAGAAAAGAGCAAAAATGAATGAATGAACGAATGAATGGCCGCGCGTGTGGGCTTCACTTGGCCGGCAAGTGAAGGGTGGGTCCACCCACGTACGAGGGAGATGGAGGTGAGCACGGCAGCCAGCGGCCGGTCGATCACGTTCGTGGCGTCGTTCGCTCCGCCCAATCCTGCGTGGTTTTTGGTTCAACGGACGGGAGGAGGAGGTGGAGGAGGTTGGCAGTGTACACGGACGGGAGGGAGCGTCATGAAGGCGTACCGACTTCGATGATGGCAACGTCGACGCGCTGCTGGTGGAAGTGGAGATAGGCCGCCGCCGTCAAAGCTTCAAACTGATGGCAACAACGAGAACAACGATACGAGACGACCACGCGTTTATCAATATATATATGTCGTGTAGTGGACAGAGGAGAGAGATCGTTTTTTAATTGAGTGGGAGCGTGAGTATATGTACCTGGGTCAGGGGGATAGCGGTGTGCTTCATCTGCGCGCTGATGGTGTGGAGCACGGCGTCAAAGTCGGACTCGCTGATCATGCGCTCGTCGACGGTGATGCTCTCGCGCCAATCCACGAGATGCGGCGACGTGAACCGGCCCACCTTGAGCGGTTTTTCTCCCGTCGTCGTCGCCGTCGCCGCCGCCCCGCCCACGTACCGCCATATGGCCGTGAGGAAGGCGCACACGCTGCCCTTCCCGTTGGTACCCGTCACGTGGATCGTCCGCACTGTGCACAGTGACGAGAGACGGAACAGACCGAGGAGGAGGAGAACGAAGGTAAGAGAAGAGTGTGTGTGTTGTGTGTGCGTGTGTGTGCGTGTGTGTGTGAGTGAGAGAGAGAGAGAGCGAGCGAGCGCGCACCTTGGTTTTGAGGTTCGCCCAACGAGGCGAGGAAGGAGCGGATGCGGCCCACCCCCAAGTCCATGCCCCGAGGCGAGAGAGACCGGAGGAACGCCGCCGCCCCGGAGAACGGAGGCTCGGGAGCGGGAGCGGGGGGAGGGGAGAGGAGCTTCTCCGGCGGCACTCCCGCTATGGCCAGCCCGTCCTTGCGGTGGCCCTGCCTCTCGAGATTAGTTTCAAGTGGCCATATACCACACCACTGCTCCGCGCGAGGTGTCGATTGATTGGTAGATAGTGGTAGGTAGTAGTGCGGAAAGTTGCGTCGTACCGCGGCGTCGCAAATGGTGGTGATGAGGCGGTGGGCCTTGAGCAACATCTCGTCGAACTCGCCTTCCACATCCGAATCGGCCACCACCGCTCCGCCACACCCGATGCTGGTGCCTATAGATCTCGCGCGCGCGCACAGGTCGGTTTAGATATATCAAGAAATGCAGCAGCTGAGAAAGAGAGAGAGAGGAGGCAAAAGACGTCTCACCTTGGGGTCCGATGACAGCGGTGCGGATGACGACATTGAACGAGGCCGAGCCCGCCGCCGAGAGATAGCCCAGCACGCCAGAGTACACGCCTGCAGATAACACGCCACCGCCGCCGCCGGGCAAGCAAAGTGTGAGCTCTCCACGCCCCTCGCTCGTGTTGGCCGCAGCCGCGCGTACCGCGTGGGGCCTTTTCCAGGCGGTTGAGGATGTCCATGCTCCGCAGCTTGGGCGCCCCCGTCATGGACCCTGCGAACACGCCACAGGGTGCGCGCTGGATGAGGCCAAGTCTCATTATTATTATCGTTATTATCGTTATTATTATTATTATTGGTGCGCGCTGCAACGAAGGTGAACACGGTGCCTGGAGGGAAGCTGTGGCGGATGCTGTCGAGCGCACTCAGCCCGGGACGCAATTGACCTCGCACCGTGCTCACCAACTGGTGGACTACCCGGGGCGCCATGCCAATCACACGGTTAGGACGCCACAAAACAATCGAAGGAGCCACAACCAATCAACTGCAGGTGGTGGCGAAGGAGGAGGAGGAGGAAAGCGCACCAGTGGCGTAGGACTCGACGTGCATGAGGTAGGGCACGTGGACACTGTTGATCTCGCACACTCGCCCCATGTCGTTTCGGATCAGGTCCACGATCATGAGGTTCTCCGAGAAGTCCTTTTTTTACCCCCCCCACACACACACCAGAACCGACAGCGTTGCAGCCTTAGATCAGTAGGGCGGGGCCAAAAAAGTGCCCTGCGCGCACACTGTACCTTGGGGTTGGACTGCAGGTGGGCCTTGAGAGCTTCGTCTTCTTCGGGGGTGCGCCCGCGAGGCGTGGTGCCCTTGATGGGCTTGCACTCCACCGTACCTGGGAGCCATCAGCGTAAGCAAGAAAAGAAAAGAAAAGAAAAGAAAAACAGAGGCGGGAGTGGTTGGTGCTGGGCCCTTGAGAGAAAAAAAAAGGGAGGAGGGAGGAGGGAGGAGGGGAATGGTCGTACGAGCATTGTCGACGCTGAGGAACTTCTCCGGGGACGACGACAGGATGTGGAGGTCCTCCTCGAGCCGCAGGAACGAGGCGAAGGGCGCCGGGTTGGATTCCCGCAGCCGCAGGTACAGCCCCAGCGGATCGGGCCTGTGGTCATTGCATGGGGTCAGAGCCCGCCCGATGTAGGATACGTAGGATAGTTCATCTCCACCACCAGCCACCAGCCACCACCAGCAGCAGCAGACGAACCTCAAGGGGGTGGTGATCTTGTTGGTGAGGCAGAGCTCGTAGCTGTCCCCTCTGCCGATTTCCTCAAGACACGCCCGGATGTCGTCTGACATCAAACCGCCAAGGGGTGCCAAAGGGTGAGCGCGTGGCCGGCGCAGCATTATTGAGATGAGATAATATATATATATATATATATATAAAGGGAGGGAGCCAACGCAACGCACCCTTGTACTGTTCGTAGGGCCGCTGCAATGCAAAGGGCACGGGCGGCTGCTGCTCCGCGTTGTCCTGGACAGACGGAGACGTGTGGCGAGGGCTCGTGGCGGCGCTCGGGTCCGACGCCAAGGACTGCTCGACCTGGGCGAACCATTCCCGGCTGGCCCGCTCCTCTGCCCCTCCTTCTTCGCCAGTGCCGCGGGCCTCTTTGCCAAGGCACATCACATACACGCTGCGGGCGACGTGGTCAAACGCCACCACCCGATCGGCAAAGACGAACGCAGCATCGGGCGCGTCTGCCTGCACGCGGCGGGAAGGACAGGTCGTGAGGGGGTTGGCTGGCCGCAAAAGAGAGCGAGGGAGAAGGGGGGGCGCATACTTGAGCTGTGGAGGGGAGATCGGGAAAGGCCCCAGCCTCGTGCTTCATCTCGTAACCAAAGTAGCCCACGAACCCGCCCACAAAATCGAATGGCAAGTCTTTGTCTGCACGCGCGCGCGCGCGTCACAAATAAATGGCGCCTTCAGTAAGTCGGGTACCGCCGGCATGGGTACCCCACCACCGGTGGCGTGTGGAGTACCGATGGGACACTTGCGCTTGGCGAGTTTGCGGTCGACAACGTCAAAGAAGGACTGGTCGGCTGCCAGTCGGTATGCGCGTTGCTGGACCTGGCCTCCTCGTCGCTTCCACGTGGTGACCTCCCTCTGAGCCAGGGAATACGATGTGTAGAAGGCATGTGGGCCGTCACACGAACCCATGTACGAGTACCTGACCGCACGCACGGCACATATGAAAACGCGCACCGCGCACAGAGAGGAGGTGAGACACAGAGGCACCCATAACAAGCAAGCTTTGCACAGCACCACATGGGGACTAGAGCAGGGCTCACCTGCACGCCTGGGAATCGGTGCGAGAGGAATCCAACCAGAAGCACTTTGGGCTGTCCGCGAACAGCTTGCAGAAGACCTGGCGCCACAACAAGCGTTTGATGATTCCCGAAAAGGCGACGACGTTAGCCAAATGACACCACGCGCTCGTGTGAAGAAATGTCGAGCTGCGCGCAAAGGCGGTATATACCTCGTGGCTAGGCGCGTCGGTGGCCAATCGCCGCCACCTCAGGCGGTATGGGAATGCATTCTCTTGAATCGGTCTGGGAGGGCGGCCACCGGTGTTAGCAGCCGGGCCAAGGTCGTGGCCAAGTGCCCTGATAACACGGCCAGGCAGGCAGATGCATTCGTGGTGGGCGGCAGCATACCGGGAAGGCGGCACGAGGTAAGTCGGGGTGGAGAGAGGAGGGGCACCGGCTGCAGGCACGTGTGCGCGATGCCGCCGGCTTAGGTCGCGGAAGTTCCGGAGGATGGTCTTGCCGTGTTCGGTGCAGACAGACTCCGGATGGAACTGCACGCCCCACATGGGCCGCGCCTTGTGCCTGATCGCCATCACCAACCTGCACCAAGTCATGGGTGAGCCAGTCCCAATGGGTGCGCCGGCACGTGCACAGCTCTACCGCTGTTATAACAGACAGTGAGTGGACAAGTGGAGGGTACCCGTCGTCAACGGAGCGCGCGATGCACTCCAGGTGCTGACCGAACGCGGGCGCGTCTGAGACCGTCCATGAGTGATAGCGCACCACCTGCACCAGATGATAAGCGCGCGCGCGTTTAGGTCCAAACAAGATCAGCGCGCGCGTGTGCGTAGATGGATGGCGCAATGTGGCTAGTACGCGTACCTTGAAGGAGAGGGGCACGCCCTGGAACAGTGGATCGTTGGTGTGCTGCACTTGACTCACCACCCCATGCGCCACACGAGGCGCCCGCACCACCTGAACGATCGCTCTCTGGCCTGTGAGGAAAAGAAAGGGGTGCCATTGATGGGGGGAGGAGCCCATGGTACCTCGGCGCCGGACACGTGGGCAAGGCCTTGGTGGCCCAGGCAAACGCCGAGGACGGGCAACTCGGCCTCACGCAGCAGCTGTTCACACACGCCGAAATCTGCACCAACAACAAATCGCAAAAGATTCGTCATTCCAACACCTGATTTTTGGCGCAAGATCAAGATGCGCACCTGCACTGTTGGACGGCACGCCAGGACCGGGGCTGAAGAAGGGGGGCAGGAAAGTGCACCAGGCGTAAGGTGAGAGGTTGAGAAGCTTGCCTTCACGTTAGATGTTGGAGTGCGGGCTCCTTACCTAATGACGACGTTGTGGAAGTGAGGCAGGACGGCCTGCAGGGCCTCCCATGTGAGCTGGTCGTTGCGGATGACGCAGGGCGGGCGGCCGTTGACCTCGGCCAAGTACTGAAACAGGTTGAAGGTGTAGGAGTCGTAGTTGTCAATGAGGAGCGTGAAGGTGCTGCCCTCCACGCTGACTGCCGTGGCCATTGCTGCTGCTGGTGGTGCTCACGATGATGATAAAGGTGTGTATTTGTGCTCTACATGCGGAGACAAAACGGCCTACAAAAAAAGAAAAGGACGGGCAGCAAGAAGGGGCAGAAGCCTGCCCCTTTCTGCGCCTGGCGGCGAGTTCGGACCGGTTAGGAATGTAGTTCATCGCCTACCAAACTATGGCGCCCTATACCAAACATTCTTTTGCTGCGGCGCCCAAGCGTCCGCGGTTGCGGACGTGGCAAGCACACACACGCGCACACAGCTTTCCACCATCTCATCGGCTCACGTGCAGCATTGGAGCTGCCGTGAAACAGTCCCGCGATGTCACTGGTTGCGTGCAGACGGAGATGGTGCGCGACAAGGTTAGATAATGTGCTGGAACTCGAGTACAGAACACACTTATGTGTTATTGTGATGTGATGACTCAGTTACGTGTGCTGTTACGCCAGCGACACGTGAGGGGACCCCACCGACCCCAATAAATAATAATAATAATATGGCCGCCTCAGGGCGTGGTGCCCGCGCTCGTCGTCTGCCTGCTCTGCTGCTCCTTCCTTTGTCGTCGCGAGCGGCCGGTCGGGGAGCTGTAGAGGAGGGACGAGTCGTACTGCGTCTGGTCCTGCCCTTCGCCCTCCTCCTGCAGAAAGTCCCGGATGAGCGCCGCCACCTCATCGGCCTCGCTCATCGTCTCGGCTGAGCCCTTGTCCGCGGCCATCCGGCCGTGCGTCGCCTGGCGCTCGTAGAACTGCGGCGGCTGCTGGCAATATGACGATGATGACGACGACTGTTGACGATGGGGCTGCTGCTGCTTAGGCGCGTGGCGGCGGCTCTGGCGGGGCGTCTCCTCGGGCGTCGGGGGCGCCGGCTGGTAGTAGGGCTCCTCGGCATAGAAGGAGGCGCGCATGGCGTGCGTCGGGTGTCGGCTGCTGGCGGCGGCCTGGTCCTCCCGGCTCAGGGCTGGCGGCGAGGGCACGGTGACGCCGAGCGCGAACGAGGGCGGCGGGGAGGGAAGGTAGGGCGACGACACGGCCGACGAGCACTGCAACAACGACGACGACGACGACGAGGCCAGGCTGCTGCCCGGTGCACTGCCGGCATAGGGCGACTGCGGCAACCGCGAGGCCACTGCTGCGGGGGACGAGGGCGCGTGTGGCGGCCCGTGCCCTATGCCTCCGTGGTGCAGCTGCTGATGGCGGTGGTACTGGTGGTGCTGCTGCTGCTGCTGCTGATGGTGATGGCCCGATCCGACGGCCGACGACGAAGAGGCGGCGGCTGATGAAGAGGAGGGCGGGAAGGGGCGGGAGAAGGTGGAGGCGGACGAGGACTGGGGGCACGGGTGAGGCGGGGCGGGCGGGCGGTGGGGGCGAGTTGCAGATGAGGGAGATGTCGGAGCAGAGGGAGAGGCAGTAGTCCCCGATGTCGTAGATGAGGCGGTTGACGTCGAGCGAGAGCGAGTCGTTGATGAGCGACGCGGGCGAGGGCGAGGGCTGCTGGGGGTGGTGTGCGTAGGGGAAGCTCGGGAAGCTGTCCAGCACGTTGCTCAGGAGGTCGGGCATCGACGCACTGCTCGAGAGGGAGAACGACGACGGGCTGCTGCTACTCGGCTCGGGCCTGAAGGCGGCGGGCGTGCTGTGATGTCGCTGCACCCGCTGCTGGTGGTGCTCCTCCTCTTCCTGCTGCTGGTGGTGGTGGTGGTGCTCCTGCAGCTCCTCGCAGCGCAGCTGGGGCCGATACAGCTGGTGCTGGTGGTGCTGCTGCTGCTGAGGCAGAATGGGCACGGGCGGAGCGCGACGCAGGACGCCGTGGTCGGTGATGGCGTGCTGCTGGGCCTGGGGGGCGGCTCTCGCAGGCTGGACTCGCGAGAGGGGGGCAGGGGCGGGCCTCGCCCTCTTGCGGGGCGGACCTTGGTCGTGGGCAGAGCTGCTCGCGCGAGTGGCAGATTCGATGGATGTCGAGGCCAGAGGCGAAGATGGCAGAGATGGCTGAGTTTGTAGAGACAACGATGAGGCGGCGGAATCGTTATCTTCAGCGGCGGTGGCGGCGGCGGGTTTTCGTCGGCGGCGGATGCGACGGTGGGTGCGGGCGTGGTGTTCCTTGGCCTCCTCGGCGAGTACTTGGGGGCTGCGAGCGAGGCGGGCGAGGAAGCTTTGGATGTCGCCCTTCACGTTGGTGCTGCCCGAGAGGAAGAGCTGGCCGAGGGTGGGCTCCACCCCATCGGACAGGGAGGGCTGGGCGGGGAAGGCGGCTGGCCCGAAGAGTTGTGTGCTGACGCCATGGCTTTATCTCCGTCTTTATCTTCTTCGTCTTGTTCGTTCTTCTAAAGAGCGAAGCCAGGCGAGAATAATAATTATTGCTGGCTTGGGGATGGATGCGGACTTCGTTTGGTCGTGGTGCTGCTGTTCGAGCTTCCGCCAAAACGAGCGAAAACAATAGACCTAGCGAAGTGGCGGGGCGGTACTCGAGGGAGTAACCGAGGTAAGGTTGTTCGTGGGGTACAGCAGCTTGCGGTGATGTGCTGACTTGGTGAAGAGGAGAAAAAACTGATACGCGCGCCACCTTGTAGCGTTGTGGCCTGTTTGGCTGTTTGGGGAGATTCAGGGAGGGCAGAAAAGCGATGATCTTCACACCAGCCCGTACCCATTGGATTTTAAAAAAGGCACAGCGTATACTTGTGCGCATATTTTACGTGCCAAGCATCAATCTGCACAAGAAAGTAGCGCGTGTCCGCAAATATCCATTAAAGGTAAATTTTCCGTCTGTAATCTGGGAGTTTTCATTGGTAGCAGAGGTATCCTCATCAGTGTCTTTCGCCCGCGGGCAAGCATGGCGGTCTGCAGAGTGGTGGGCTGTTGCATGCATGACGTGCTGGTGGATCAACAACACCAGGCAGAACTTGACAATTGTGGCATCAGAGGCAACTGAAACACCACACCTGGTGTGTGTAGGCCACATTATATGGGAGTCATCTAAAGTGCACAGGCAAGGGCATCTGCAAATTTGGTGGCTGTACATGGAGTAGTCTGTGCAGGCCATAAGGGCTTGGAGCCTTCTCACCAGTAACTCATGCTCATTTGAAATGGGAGGGCCAGTCATTTTTAATGCAGTTAAAAAGAATTTTTGGTGTCCAGTCACCCTGCCATCAGCCATGGCCAACAACAAGGAACTGTTAAAGCTCCTGGAGGTTACAGGTGAGGTGCCAGAGTTCCTAAGATTTCTCTGCTGGTCAGGACCACCACATGCTCTGGTGCAAGAACACCATCCTGGAGGCCCCAAACTGCAACAAGCATGTCATGACCACCCACAGGCTCCAGATCTGGGCTGATGAGCTGCAGTTCACCCCTCATGATGTGGCACCAACCATGAAGTTGTAAATTGAAGTTGTCAAATTGGTGCGCTGGCCGTCCGGATTTTGGCAGGAGCAAGCACCGACCGTTACCTGAGGCGTACCGCCTCCTTAAGTGCGCCCCCCCCTACCTCGGGAGGTATAAATTTGAACAGCGGGGGTGGCTGGTCTTTTTCTTTTGTCGCTTCGAAGCTCAGCGCAAAGACCTCGAACGTAGGCCGCGCGGGTGGTTTTGACATTACGTGAGCTTGGGCCGAGCGGTGAGCGAATCTAATCGCGAAGATGTCTGAATACGACACTACTACTTTCGGTACAGTAGCCGCTCTCACTACATTTCCATCCCACGCATCACCTTACGATGATTCCTTCACCTGGCAGGCGATGAGGATGTGATGGAAGAGGAGGAGTACGCCACACGGGGTGCCGATGGAATGGATCAGGAGATGATGGAGGATGAAGAGGAGGAAGAAATCACGCAGGAGGACACATGGACTGTGATCAGTGCCTACTTCGAAGAGAAGGGCTTAGTGCGGCAGCAGCTCGATTCGTTCGATGCCTTCATTCAGAACACCATGCAAGAGCTCGTGGATGAATCGCCCGACCTCATCCTCCAACCCGAATCCCAGCACAAGCCCGGCGCTGGGCCACAGACGCAGACCCGCTACATCATCAATTTTGGCCAAATTTATCTCAGTCGGCCCACCATGACGGAAGCCGACGGCAGCACCCAGGCCATGCTTCCCAACGAAGCCCGCCTGCGCAACCTCACGTACGTCGTCGTCACCTCGCTTATCTTTTCACACCCCCCCCACAAACATTTCCACAGCTTCCAATAATTCCAAACTAATCAATCACGCCGGATTCGCCGTGCGTATAGTTATTCGGCGCCTTTGTTCGTGGACATGTCCAAGACGACGATCACCGCGGCGGGCGAAGAAGGGGAGACTCACCAGTCCACGGAGGAGCTCTCGCGAGTGTTCATCGGCAAGGTGCGTGCTGGCAGCCCTCCCCCAAGCTCCATTCTTTAGGAGGTGGATGTGTGCGAGGCGGTGCGCCGCGAATGGGCTGGCCTAACGCACCACGCGCAACGACACACACACACACGACACACTGTCGTATGGTGTCGTATGGTGATTTAATGGGCGCGCAGGTGCCGATCATGTTGCGTTCGAACTACTGCATGCTGGCGGGTGCGCCGTCGGACAAGGACCTGACGGAGTTGGGCGAGTGTCCGTACGACCAGGGCGGTTACTTTGTGATCAACGGGAGCGAGAAGGTGCTGATCGCGCAGGAGAAGATGAGCCACAACCACGTGTACGTGTTCAAGAAGCAGGCGCCCTCCAAGTACGCCTACGTGGCCGAGATCCGGTCGTGCCTGGAGACGGGCAGCCGGCCGACGAGCACGATGTACGTCAAGATGATGCAGCGGTCGGGGTCCAAGGGCCAGACGCTCAAGGCGACGATCCCCTACATCCGGCAGGACATCCCCATCATCATCGTCTTCCGCGCGCTCGGGTTCGTGGCCGACCGGGAGATCCTCGAGCTGATCGTGTACGACTTTGACAACAAGGACATGATGGAGATGCTGCGCCCGTCGCTCGAGGAGGCCTTCGTCATCCAGGACCAGGCCGTCGCTCTCGACTACATCGGCAAGCGCGGCACCACGACCGGCGCCACGCGCGAGAAGCGCATCAAGTACGCCAAGGAGATCCTCCAGAAGGAGATGCTGCCCCACGTCGGCATCTCCCAGTACTGCGAGACCAAGAAGGCCTACTTCTTTGGCTACATCATCCACCGCCTCCTCCTCGCCGCCCAGGGCAAGCGCCCGCTCGACGACCGCGACCACTACGGCAACAAGCGCCTCGACCTCGCCGGCCCGCTCCTCGGCACCCTCTTCCGACAGCTCTTCAAGAAGCTCAACAAGGACGTACGCGGCTACCTCCAGAAGTGCGTCGACTCGGGCAAGGAGTTCAACCTCATGATGGCTGTCAAGTCCAAGACCATGTACGCACTACTACCACTACTCCTCCTACAGCTGCCCACCTCCACACACACACACACACACACACACACACACACACACACACACACACAACCCTCTCTACACACTCGAGTGTGTCGTGATTGGCTCACTCGCGCGATGGTGTGTGTGTGGTGTGCAACACGACGCGTAATGACACAGTACGAACGGGCTCAAGTATTCGCTGGCTACGGGCAACTGGACGTCGACGCGGTCGGTGGGGGCCAAGTCGGGCGTGTCGCAGGTGCTCAACCGGCTCACGTTCGCGTCTACGCTGTCGCACTTGCGCCGGCTCAACACGCCCATCGGGCGCGAGGGCAAGCTGGCCAAGCCGCGCCAGCTGCACAACACGCACTGGGGCATGATCTGCCCGGCCGAGACGCCCGAGGGCCAGGCCTGCGGGCTGGTCAAGAACCTGGCCCTCATGGCCTACATCTCCGTCGGCTCCGCGTCGGCCCCGATCCTCGAATTCCTCGAAGAGTGGAGCACGGAGAATCTCGAGGAGATCTCGCCCTCCAACATTCCCGCCGCCACCAAGATCTTCGTCAACGGCGCGTGGGTGGGCATCCACCGGCAGCCCGACCACCTCGTGCAGACCCTGCGCTCGCTGCGTCGCTGCGTCGACGTGTCGGCTGAGGTGTCGGTCGTGCGCGACATCCGCGAGCAGGAGCTGCGCCTCTACACCGACGCCGGCCGCTGCTGCCGCCCCCTCTTCATCGTCGACAAGCAGCGCCTCCTCCTCAAGAAGTCCGACATCCGCGACATCCAGAAGGTACACCCCGGTGATGACACGACACGACCAACGACACGACACGACACGATCCCTCATCATCACTATCACCCTTCCCTCCCCACCCACCCACCGGCTCAGCTTGCTCACGTGTCTCGTGTGTTACGTGTCGTGTGTACACCCCCACAGCTGCAACAAGACGAGAGCCTCTCGGAGAAGGGCTGGTCGCACCTGGTGTCGCAAGGCTTCGTGGAGTACATCGATTGCGAGGAGGAGGAGACGGTGATGATCGCCATGACCATCGACGACCTCAAGAAGTCCCGCAGCGAAGAGGTGCCCTTCCGCCCCGCCACCATGATCTGCCTCTCTTCTTTTCCCCTCACATGTCGTGTTCCCTTCCCCCCCATCCATTTCCAGGCGTATTCGTACACGTACACGCACTGCGAGATCCATCCGTCGATGATCCTGGGCATCTGCGCGTCGATCATTCCGTTCCCCGACCACAACCAGTCACCGCGTAACACGTACCAGTCGGCCATGGGCAAGCAGGCCATGGGCGTGTACACGACCAACTACCAGCTCCGCATGGACACCCTCGCGCACGTGCTCTACTACCCGCAGAAGCCCCTCATCACCACCCACTCCATGGAGCACCTCCACTTCCGCAAGCTGCCCTCGGGCCAGAACGGCATCATCGCCATCGCGTGCTACTCGGGCTACAACCAGGAGGACTCGCTCGTCATGAACCAGTCGTCGGTCGACCGCGGCTTCTTCCGCTCCGTGTTCTACCGCTCCTACGTCGACTCGGAGAAGCACATGGGCCAGTACGACGAGGAGTTCGAGAAGCCCATCCGCGAGGACACCATGGGCATGCGCCACGGCTCCTACGAAAAGATCGAAGACGACGGCCTCATCGCACCCGGTACACCCCTCTCCCTACCTCCCTCCCTCCCTCCCGCCTCTCCTCCCCTCTCCCTCTCCCTCTCATCGCTTCGTTCTTTTTCTCCCCCCGCGTATACGATGATGTTCGATCGATGGACCCATGACCGACTCACTGACTGACTGATGACCGATGGTTGCTGCGGCGGCGGCGACGACGCCAGGCACGCGCGTGTCGGGAGATGACATCATCATCGGCAAGACGACCCCCGTGTCGCCCAACGAGGAGGACACGCGCGCGCAGCGGTTCTCCAAGAAGGATTCCTCCATCTCCGTCCGGTCGTCGGAGACCGGCATCATCGACAAGGTGATGCTCTCCACCAACTCCGACGGCTACAAGTTTTGCAAGGTACTCCATCATCATCACCACAACCACCGCCGCCCCCTGCGAGAGAATCAACGCATCGATGCGCGAGATCGCACCACCGCGGTGCTGATGCACGTTGATCTATATATTTATTGATATTGATATTGATATTAATGCATCGATGGGGGAGGGGTTCAGGTGAGGGTGAGGTCGGTGAGGACGCCCCAGATCGGCGACAAGTTCAGTTCGCGCCATGGCCAAAAGGGTACGGTGGGCATCATGTACCGGCAGGAGGACATGCCCTTCAACATCGAAGGCATCACCCCCGACATCATCGTCAACCCGCACGCCATTCCCTCGCGTATGACTATCGGCCAGGTACCCCAAACATGCACAACACGCTCGATGCGGTCCCGCTGCTAACACCGCATCACACCACACACGCGAACATGCGGCAGTTGATCGAGTGTCTGATGGGCAAGGTGTCGGCCACCACGGGCGAGGAGGGTGACGCGACGCCCTTCACCAATACCACCGTCGAGTCCATCTCCGATCTGCTGCACGGCGTGGGCTACCAGAGGCGTGGCAACGAAGTCATGTACAACGGCCACACCGGTACGCCCCGCGCCCCAGCAGCATTCCGCTGCTCTTTAACAGGTGCTCGCAAGAAAACTGGACCTCACCGATCATCGCTGTTGTGCTGTGTTGTGCTTTGCGCCGTTGTGCTTGTGCTTGTGGCGCTTTTTGCAGGCCGCAAGCTGGAGGCGCAGTTCTTCATCGGACCCACCTACTACCAGAGGCTGAAGCACATGGTGGACGACAAGATCCACTCGCGCGCTCGCGGCCCGGTGCAGATTCTCACGAGGCAGCCCGTGGAGGGCCGATCGCGCGACGGTGGTCTCAGGTTCGGAGAGATGGAGCGCGACTGCATGATCTCCCACGGCGCGGCCCAGTTCCTCAAGGAGCGACTCTACGACCAGTCTGACGCCTACCGCGTGCACGTGTGCGACCTGTGCGGCATGATCGCCATCGCCAACCTCCGCAAGAACACCTTCGAGTGCCGCAGCTGCCGAAACAAGACCCAGGTGAGAGCCCCTCCCCTCTCCCCCGAACTCCCGGCACCCGTCGCGGTGTGGTGGCGGTGGTGGCATGCACGCGGAACAACACTGACCCGCTCCCGTCCACAGATCTCGCAAGTGCACATCCCCTACGCGTGCAAACTTCTCTTCCAGGAGCTCATGTCGATGTGCATAGCGCCCCGCATGCTGCCCGCCTGAGCCCCCTCCCGCCCGCCCCAGTTCTGCTGCTGCTGCTGCTGCTGCAAGGCTATTTATTGGTGACCACACATATGGGGGGAGTACAACAGTGTACAGAAGGCCCGCGCCGCACGCGTCCGACGTAAACATAAACACAAACATTACAAATTCTTGCTCAACCTTCTTCTCAAGCAGTGTGCGGAGCAAGAAACAAACTGTAGGCACGAGGATTGCTGGCCACCACTGAGGATCATTGATCAAGCAGCCCTCTTAGCTCAGCTGGTAGAGCGCACGACTGAAGATCTTGAGGTCGCTGGTTCAAACCCGGCAGAGGGCAATCTAATTAACTTTTGCGCTCCTTGTAAATTGCACTCTTTTGGCGTGCATACCAGACATAGCCAGGTCCACATATCAACATACACAAGCAGATCAGATGTCCGGCATCGCGAGAGGTCGTTTGTCCGAGGAGAGGAAGGTAATGCTTGTTCTTAACATATCACGTATGGCCTGCTTCAGCCGTACAGCAGCGATTTAATTGAATGATTTCTTGGGGGGGATGCGTTTTTGATGAAAGGCCTGGCGCAAGGACCACCCGCCTGGGTTCTTTGCGCGTCCCGAGCAGAATCCGGATGGCTCGGCCAACCTCATGAAGTGGACGTGCGGCATTCCCGGCAGGAAGGGCACCGACTGGGAGAACGGCATCTTCCCCCTCACCATGGCCTTCACCGACGACTACCCCAGCAAGCCCCCAAAATGTACACCTCCCGCCAATTCATGGCACCTGTGCCCCAGCGCTGGCAGCGCGCGTAGACTTGCCTCATTCTTCTGCAACAACACACTACCGTGTTGGCTGCTCGCACCTCTGCTTGTCCGTGCACAGGCCAGTTCCCGAGTGGTTTCTTCCACCCCAACATCTACCCCTCGGGCACCGTGTGCTTGAGCATCCTCAATGAAGACGAAGACTGGAAGCCCTCCATCACCGTCAAGCAGGTGCACACCACACAGCACAGCACAGCACACCGCAGCACAGCACACACATCCAAGCTTCCTCTTCTCTTGGCACTGACGCGTGTGATTGGCGCACACCAGATTCTGCTGGGCGTGCAGGAGCTGCTCGACAGCCCCAACCCCAACAGCCCGGCACAGCAGGACGCCTACGCTCTCTTTGTGTACGGCCCCCATTCCTCTTCTCCCCTCCAACCGCCTGAGCCACGCGGTTGGTTCACCACCACCATCGTCATGATGGGGGTAGTCCATTTTTGCTGATCGTCGTGAGCTCGCCTCATCACTCGCAGCACCAACCGCACCGAGTACAAGCGCCGCGTGAAGCTCCAGTCGGCCAAGTACACGCAGTAGGAGCTCACGAGACTCCCTCATCCCCAATCTGGCAACCATCCGTAGGGTGAGAGACTGGTCAGCACTGTTTCATTTGTAGAGAGCCTCACACATCATACATCGCACGCAATCCACGGTTGTCACCTCCGGTGATGATGATTACGCTGATGACCCCTTGTCACCGCTTCACACCCTGTGGCCACAACCAGGCGGCTGGTTGTTGGGTTGGCCCTCTCTCTCTCCCTCCCTCCTCAAAATTGGTCGCTTGTTGCTTGCTGCTCCTCTTCTCCTCCCTTTTCCGCGCTGGAGCAGCGTCACCACGCATCGTCCATCTCGCCCGCATCACCAGCCCTCGTCGGACTCCTCCTCATCGTCGTCGTCGTCGGAGAAGTACTCGCCGCCGGAAGCCCGAGGGGCGGCAGCTCCGCCCGCACCGCCCGTCCAGTCCGATGGTGCGTCGGGGTTGCTGCAGCCACGACGAGAGGGAAGGAGGAACGAGAAGGAGGAGGAGGAGGGGAAGCAGAACAAATTAGGCCAACCCCAACGTGTCCCGTCCCCGGGAAGCAAGCAGCCGCACGAAAACAAACGGATAGGTGGTGGTGGCTGGTGGTGGTGGCTGGTGGTGCGCGTACTCGAGGATGTCGGGGTTGATGCCCTCCAGCATCATCTTCTGCTTGATGGCGGCGACCGGCACGCGCAGGCGCAGCATGACGAAGTACTGCTCGTAGCGCGGGTCCGCCGACACCGTGAGTCCTCCCCCCTCTGTTGCGACACACGCACGACCACACGACACACACACTTAGCAACGAATGGGGGGGGGCACGCTCGACGGGCAGGACCAGGCGCAGTAGCCGTACGAGAGCCCGGAGGCGGAAGGGCGGTGTGGTCCTGGTACTCGTCCCCGCCGTAGTGCGGCTGCTGCTGGTGGTCTTCCTCGCGCGGAGGCGGCGGCGGCGGCACCTCGCCCGCACCCTCGCCCGCTGTTCGCCGGATGTGCCACGGCAACATAGGCAACGCAGCGTTAATGTCGCCGGTCAGTGTGTGCAATGAGTGCGTGCGTGCGTTTTGGCGGTGTGTCGTGCCCGTGGTGGTGGTGGCTGGTGGCTGGTGGCTGGTGGTGGTGGTGGTGGTGGCTGGTGGTGGTGGTGGTGGCTGGTGGCTGGTGGTTGATGGTTGGTGGGTGGTGGGTCGGCTACACACTCTTGTGGTACTCAGCACAAGTAGGCAATGGCGCGAAATAAATAGCTACGCGGCGTACCGGGAGCGGCGACGGCGGCAACGGTGGTGGCACCGGGGGCGGCGGGACCGAGGGCGTCCTCCGGTATGCTGTTGAGCTTGGCTTCGAGGATGTTCATGGTGATCTCCAATCTGAATGGCGAGCCCCCCCCCAACGCAGCAAAAGAAGAGCCCCCGGGGGGGATTTTAGGCGGTTAAGCGCGTCAAAGGCGAGGGAAGGGGGGGGGGAAGAGGGAGGCAGTGGAGGGCATGGTACCGTTGCAGATGGCGGGAGACCTGATCGAGGCGCTGCTCGCAGAGGAAGGAGAAGCGGTTGAGGAATTGAGTGGTCTGGATGACAAAGTGGTTGACATAGGCCACGGTCTTCTTGAAGGGGATGGGCTCCACCTTGGAGTAGTCGATTTGGGCCACCAGCGACTCCATCTTCTTCGTCGTTTGCTCGCGTGTGTGAATTGTCGAGCGTAATTTCTAGGTTTCGCTTTTCTTTTCTCGCATTTTTATTTCCATTTTGTTTTCTCCTTGGAAAATGCAAGGAACATCGCAGGAGGGGTGTAAAACTCCGGACCCGCTCTGCGGCACTCCGTACGCCTTCCTAATAATAATAATAAATAAGGAACATCGCAGGGGACTCACGCGTCGGAGAGGAAGGCGTCGTCGGTGTAGGCGCGCATCCACTCCTCGGGTAGGCCGCACGCCACCACGAGCTCCAGGCTGGCCGCCGTCAGCTCGATCCGATGCTGCACGAACGCGCCTGCTCCCCCACCTACCCCCCAAGCATCACGCATGGCCATATTTATATCCACGCACCATCGACAAACGCCTTAGCGTGAGGGATCACGACGATGATGATGCTGCTGCTGGTGGTGGCTGGTGGCTGGCTGGTGGCTGGTGAACGAGGTGCTCCGGTGCGGAGGAAAGCGGTGGTACCGAGGAGGGTGGGGCAGCGGGGGCGCGAGTCGAGCACGTCGGCGAGGCGGTGGGCGCTGGCGTTGAGCTGGCGGGCCATGAAGAGGATGTCGGCCCGCTGGATCTCGTCGGGGCACGAGTGGAAGAGGGCGCGTGCCTGGAGCATGACCTCCACCACCTTGCCCACCACGTGCTCCGTGCTGGCCCGCCACTCCAAGTGCGCGCCCACCTCCTCCTCCTCCTCCTCTTCTGCCTCCTCCTTGCGCGTCTCCGCAGCAGCACCAGAGTCGCGGCGGAGCGCGTCGGGTTCGGTGAGGGCCGGCAGCACCGGATGCCCGGCCAGCAGCACGTGCAGGTCGTCAACGAGCTGTCGCAGCCGCTCGATGTCGGCCAGGCGACGCTCCAGGGCGGCCTCGCTCTTCCGCTTTTTCTTTTTCTTCGTAGTCGTCGTCGTCGTCGTGGTCACCTTCTTGGTGGTGGGCTTGGGCTTCTTCCTCCTCTTCCAGCCGTCCGCCGCCGCCGTCTCGCCGCCTTTTCGGCCGGCCTTCCCATCGTCGTTATGGCCGCCGCCATCGCCGTGACGTTCCGCAGCCGTCGTGTCGCCGGAGGAGGCGGCTTGCCGCCGCGGAGGTGTTCGTGCCTTCCTGTCGCTCTCGCGGAAGTCGTCGTCCTCGTCGGCGTCTCCGTCCTCGTCCGCCTCGTCTCGCTCCGGGTCCTCGTCACTGTCCTCCTCCTCCTCCTCGTCGTCGTTGTCGTCGTCGCCATCGGTGGCGCGGGGGTGAGAGCGGGCGTCGGAGGCCCAGCTGGGGCCCCGCAGCTCCTCCGCGCTCACGGTGAGGCGGGGGTCCTTGGGGGCGCCGCTCCGCCGCGGGCTAGGTCCCTGCGGGTCGTCGCGATGACGGTGAGCGGGCGCGTCATCGGAGAGTTCGCCGCTGCTGTAGAGGCGGTCGTCCGCGGCGCCGCCGCCGCTGCTGCTCGGGTCCGAGGGGCTGCGCTTGGGGCGGGCACCTTCGCCGGGGAGCTTGCTGACGACCTTGTTGCCGCTGTTGGCCTTGACCTCCTGCGAGAAGGTCAGCAGCTGGAAGATGTTACGCAGCGATCGGCTCTTCTCCTTCTCCTTCTCCTTCTGCACAACAACAACAACAACAACAACAACAACAACAGCACAGCACACCGGCACGGCGCGGCCACCAACGCGAGGAGGCGGGTGAGCGTGCGCGAACGGGTGGAAGGGAGAGGCGACCAGGCACCTTGGGTGCAAGCGCGGACTTGTCGCCGGCCACGATGCGATCGAGGCGCGGGTTGTGGGCCTCCTTGTACCACGACACTGACCGCCGTAGCTCGCTGCCGCCGCCGCGCTTCGCCTTGCCGGCCTGCTCGTCCTTGTCCGCCGCTTCCTCCTCGCCGCCGCCGCCGCCGCTCTTGTCCTGGCTGTTCTTCCGCCGCTTCTTGTCGAGCCTGTCCGTTTTCTGCTTCTTCGTTTGTGCCGCCGCCGCCGTGGTCTTCTCCTTCTTCTCCTTCTTCTCCTTCTTACTCTTCTTTTTCTCCTTCTTGTCCTTCTTCTCCCGCTTGCTTCCCTTGCGCCCGGGCGTGGTGGCCACCTCCGCTCCCGCGCTCTCAGCAGGGGCGGTGCTTTGGTGGCCCAGACCGTCGTGCGGTTTCTCGCCCTCGCCCTCGCCCTCGCCCTCGTGCTGCTGCTGCTGCTGGCCATGGTCGTACTCGTCGACAGGGATGCTACTGGTGCTGCCACTGCTGCTGCTGCTGCTGCTGGTGGTGGTGGTGGTGCAGATGGTGCTCCCGCGCGCGGCGTCGCCGTTGCGTCCCAGGCTTCCGCGGCGAGAGCCTCCGCTGCCGCTGCCCGTGCTGCTGCTCCTGCGCTCCCGCTGTTGCTGCTGCGGGGCGTCGGCCGACGCGAGGTCGCTGCTGCGGTCGCGGTCGGTGCGCCAGATTGTGGAGCTGGACGACGAGGGCGAGGCGGCGGCTGCCGCGGTCGAGACGACCACAGAGTCGCGCGAGAGCGAGTGGGAGCGGTTCATGCGCATGCGCCCGCCCTCGTCGCTCTTGCGCAGGCTGCCGCCCTTCCCGCCCGTCAGCCGCTTCAGCGAGAGACTCCGAGACAGCCGCGCGCCCCGGCTGCTCTCTCCTCCTCCTCCTCCTTCCTCACCGGTGGTGGCGGCGGCGGCGGCCCCGTCGTCCGCGCGTCGCTCCGTGGTCGTCGTGGTCGACGACGACGAGGAGGAGCTGCGCAGGAGGGCCGCCGTCGTGCAGGAGGTCCCGGAGCTTGCTGATGAGCTGCACCTTGGCGGCCCCTTCCACCTCGATCCGCCCGCTCCCCTTCCGCTCCCCCTTGCCGCCCTCCTTCTGCTCCTTGCCCGCCACCTAATCACACACAGGGGAACCCATACCAACACCAATGAATGAATAAAGAAAGAAAAGAAAAGAACGAAGGAACGAGAAAAGAAAGAAGATGCAGGAGGGGGGGAGGCAGCTGTGGCGCAGGAACCTCGGAGTGGGGCGCCGGGCGGTGGACCGAGCGAAAGGAGGAGGAACGGGTGGGCGGGGGTGACGTGATGGTGCTGCCCCACCCGCGAGCCGAGGACTGGCGCAAGGATGACGACGGAGTTGAGGAAGACGAGGTCGAGAAGGCGAAGAAGGACGACGCGCTGGCGCTGCTGCTCGGAGAGATGGGTCGTCCGGCCCACGAGGCGGGGGAGGGCGCCAGAGAGGGGGTCAGGGTATCGCCCTCTTCGTTGTCGTCATTGTGGTGGTGGTCGTCGTCGTAGTTGTTGTTGAAGGCCTCCCCGCGTAGCAGCGGGTACCCGCCGCTTCTCGTGGTGGTCGCCATCCCCGCCGGCGCTGTTGACTGCTGCTTGGCTCCCCCTTGCTTGCTCGTGGGTCCTTTCGCGTCTGCTCTTCTCGTCGTCGTCGTGGCCGTCGTCGTGTAGTGGGCGAACTCCTGTGGCGGCCTTTTTTTTTTTTTTTGCGTGGGCACGTGGGGAATGCCTCTGTGGTTGCACCGGGGTTGTCTCTCGTGTGTGTGTGGGGGGGGTAGTTCTCCCAAGACCCCGTAGCACCACCCACCGCACGCACCGCCCCACGGCAAGTAAAGCTCCGCCCCCGCAAAAAACCAAAGAGGGGGGGGGGACAACCCGTTCAAAGCGTTAGCGCGCAGGCAGTGGACACCAACGTGGAGGGAGGAGGAGGGAGCAAAATGGAGCATAGTGGCAGTACCACGAGCAGCAGCAGCAGCAGCAGCGCCCACACGGCTCCGGAGTGGGGCAGGCAGCACGAGCACGAGCAGCAGGCCGGTGGCCTACCACACCAGCACCCGCACCAGCACCACTAGCAGCAGCAGCAGCAGCACGACAGCTTCGACGACGATGCGTGGGTGGTGGCGGGGCTGGGGCAGGGCCGTAGTGGGCACCGCCAAGCTGTGCCTGGGGGTGGGCTTGCCCACCACAGACGCAGCGGCACCAGCAGAGGGCGGGTGGTGGCGGGCCTGCTGGGCAGGCCGTGCGGCCGTGGTGGCCGTGGTGGCGCTGGCTGTGGCGGAGCAGGCCGCCACCTCGCTCGTGGGTCCGCTCACGGGCCAGTTCTACGCCCTCCTCACCAGCGTCAACGACGACCACCAGCAGCAGCGCGGAGCAGGCTGGCCGCCCTTGTCGTTCGTGGGCTTCCTGGCACGCGCCGCCGCCGTGCTCCTCCTCGTGGCCTCCCTGCGCGCCCTCGCCCAGGTGCAACTCCCCCCCCCCACCTCGCCGAGCCTTTTTGGTCCTTGTGCTTACATTTGCATTTCCGCGCCTACATACTACACGTGGATGGGGTGGTGAAGGCGGTGGTGGGGTACGTGGGGGCGGCGTGCAGGCGTGCGTTGACGGGGCGGATGCACGCACGCTACTTCGAGGGGAGCACCTACCACCTGCTACACCTGCGTCCTTCCCCCGTCGACAACCCGTACGTCGCCGCCCGCGCGCACCACGCACACACGCACACACCCGGCGTGCGTACATCATCGTGTGGTGTGTGTGTGTGTGTCGTGTGTCGATGTGTGAGTGAGGGTCGTGTGTTGTGTGTGTGTCGTGTGTGGTGTGTCTGTGTGTCTGTGTGTTGTGTGTCGTGTGTGTGGTGTCGTGTGTGTGTGTGTGTCGTGTGTTGTGTGTGTTGTGTGTGTGTGTGTGTGTGTGTGTCGCGTGTGTGAGTGAGTGTCGCGTGTGTGAGTCGTGGGTGTTGTGTGTTGTGTGTGCGTGTGGTGTCGTGTGTGTGGTGTGTGTGTGCGAGTGTGTTGCGCGCGCGCGCGTGTGTGTGTGTGTGTGTGTGTCGTGTGTCATGTCGTGTGTGTGCGCATCGCTGTCTGAATGGTGCGCACACGGGTTGGCGTGGGCATGGCAGGGACCAGCGGATAGCGCAGGACGTGCAGCTGTTGACGAGCAGCTTCGGCCAGCTGGTTTACTCGTGCGCCACGGTCCCCATCCAGGTACGTCAGCTTCGGGTGGCACTCCCCACGTGCAGCCATTCACTATCGCTGGCTGGTGGCTGGTGGTGGTGGACGTGGGGCACAGGTGGGTTACTACGGGTACAAGACGGGGGAGCTGCTGGGCTGGTGGGGACCCTTCGCCGTCCTGGCCTACTTCCTTGTCGGCACCTCCATCAGCCGGTTCGCCATCCCCTCCCCCCCAATATCCCCCATACCTCCCCCCGCCCAAGTTCTGCTTTCCCCTTTCTTTCCCTCCTTCCTTCCACTCTGGGGGGAACCTCCCTCCCTCCATCCTTTGGGCGGCGGCGGCGGCGGGGGTCCGCCTCCCTTGCTGAGCAGCGTCTGCGCGTGCCTTGTGCGGGTGGTGGGTGGTGGTGGTGGTGTGCAGGTGGCTGGCGGGACCCATTGTGGCGCGCGTGTATGCGCAGGAAGCAGCGGAGGGTACTACACTCCTCCTACATACCATACATACAATACATACATATACATACATATACATACATATACATACGTATACATACGTATACATACGTATACATACATCTACTTCTATATATCC